GATTAGAACACACAAGTATGTAAGGATGTACATGAACTTGATCATCTTAAATCTTCCTAACTCTTATTGATCTTCACCTTTGTAACTCTTTCAGAAATGTTTGTGCTGATTAATACTTAAATGATCTAAATATTGACTTGGCCGTTTCTAGCACATATAAAATAATAATAGCCTCATAGTTGTTTTCTTGCTTCTGAAGCAGCCAGCTTCCTCACGCATTTCTTCATTACTCATTATTGTCCTCAAAAATAGCTCTTCAATTGAAATTGTGGTTTCCTGAGTTTCCTGTGTCATTTCAATTAATGTATTTCTCCAAGTCTGTAACCCTAAGGACTGGTTACCACACACCATGTTTCCTAGCAGATGAAAAATTCTTATGTTTTCACTTAACGGTCCCTCTACTAAGCATTTCAGGCTGTCCTGGGGGAACTGTCTCCTACTCCATCAGTATGTGAAGGAGCCAGAACCCTGAGATACAAATGATAAAAAATGGGTTTCATATTTGAGATTTTAAGTTACTAGGCATTTTTCTTTTATAGCTTAATCATTGTGATTTTCCAAGATAATATGTACAGAAGGAGAAAGATTTTATTTCAGAGACTGGAAAAAAGCAATATAGCATTTTATAATATTTACATAAAAATGGAGCAATACTCTAGGAGAACAGTCATTTTTGCTTTAAAGCTCCTGAATCCAATGCCACATCTTCCCTGGGCAGATTATTCACAATGTATATGGTAAGTCATTCTGTCTCCTGAAGCCTGTGTGTTTAGCCCTGAAGGTTCACTCTCTTTTGTCTTTTACTTTGAGGAAGCCCATTCTGGTTGACTTAAGGCCTGGAGTAGTTTGTTGCAAAATTGAACAGTTAAGCCCTGCATCAATTTGTATGCACTCTGACTAGATTATTTCATACTAGCTCATTTCTGAGTCATCTCTAGAAATGGTGATTCCTCTTTCTATACCTAATCTTATGTCCAAATGTTTTTGTTATAACAAGGCTAAATGCAGGTCCCCACCTAACTCTTGCAGTAGTTTGTTCAATACTGAAAGGCCAGTGTGGTTGAAGCACGAGTGAAGTGGGGTCGGCTGGTGTGAGATGAGATGGGAGAGAGAGGCAGGGGTCAGATCATATACAGCTATATGAAGGCCACGATAAGGAGCTCAGATTTTATGGAACCATTTAAATGGGATTAACATGATGGAATTGACGTTTTTAAAAAACCACCCTGGCTGCTCTGGAGAAAAGCCACACAGGGCTTGGTGACAGATTGAATGTAGGCTCTCAGGGAAAGAGGCATCAGGAACATGCCCAGGAATCAGTCACACCACTGTAATGGCTGCCTTGAGTCTTTCTGTGATTCCCGTTCTGGTGGGTCACTGCCTTTGCTGTACCTGATGACCCCAGGTTTTGGGGGGAAAACTAGGGAAGAACAGGTTTAGAGGGGAAAATCAAAGTTCTGTCTACCTACATATTATAACATTCCCAGATTGATGAGACTTTAAAAGTGCTTTATGAAATTTTTCTGAAACATTATTCAAATAACAGTCATGACAGAAACATTCCAGACAGAAGTATTTCCATATTGTTTCACATAATAGACATGAGTCTTACCTGCCCACAACTTCTGAACATCATCCACTGGTGAGTTAGCAAAGTCTTTGATAAAGCCTGGAGAGGTTGTATGTCAGGTTTCTCAACCTCAGCACTGTTGACACTTTAGATAATTCTTTGAGGGGCTGTCCAGAGCGTTGTAGGAGGTTCAGCAGCATCCCTAGCCTATTAGCAGCCTCAACTCCCAGTTGTGAAAACCAAAATTGTCTTATGCTGCCAGAACCAGTGGACAGATTAGTTATTTGAAAACATCTGATAAAGTTGTGACTCATAAAAAAAAATACATAAATGCCTTAAATTTATTTCCTGGTTAAAAGTAAATAAAAATCCATTCAGTATGTTTTGATGTTGGGCCATGGTCCTGAATATGAATCCACTGACTAGATGTCCAAGTTGTCACGGTGCATGATGCATTTTCTACCATTTTTAGTTTTAGGTATTTTAAAAATGGGACAAAAATTGGATTATGCTCTCATTCTTGCTTTTTATTGATACGTAAGTTAGTCCGATCTTTTAATAACATTTTGGCTGGAGAGGGTTGGAGAAGCACCTGGCTTTCAGTAAGTGCTCCTAATACAGTCAAGCTCGCTTTCAAATAAAACCAGAAGTCTTTCATCCTCACAGTTCTAGAGCGGCTGAATATTTAATTAAGTTACATAATTATTTCTAATTACAACAAACAGGTTCAGTGACCATTGCCGTGAACTCTGTAAGCAACAGTTCACGTGATGGGACAGAAGCACTTGTGGGTATCAAGAGAGCAGCCCCCTAGCCACAGCCTTCATTGTGCCACGTCATATGCCAGTGTCATCAGGTGGACACTGAGTGAGAGGTACTGTATGGCCAAACGTTATGCAGTACTCTACCTTGATTCTCTCTTTTAATCCACGACAATCCTAAGACATAGATACTTCAAAATTTTTGTTTTGCCTTTAATAGTGAAACATAGAGCTGAGTGTCTTGCACAAGGTTACACACCTAAGAAATAAAATAGGATGAGAAACCTAGGCATCTAACATGTTTTACCATTTCATCATAAGTCCAAGGCTACGGGGGTTAATTCTCTACAGAGCACTAGGCTCCAGTCTGGTCCATGATCACAGACTACACCTCTGAATCTTGACCTGTCATCTTCAAAGTAAAGCGCTGTGGCTAGGGGCTGGCCCATGGCCAGTGATTAAGTTCACACACTCTGTGTAGGTGGCCCAGGGTTTCGCTGGTTTGGATCCTGGGTGTGGACATGGCACTGCTCCTCAGGCCGTGCTGAGGCGGCGTCCCACATAGCACAACCAGAAGGACCTACGGCTAGAATGTACAACTATGGACTCGGGGGCTTTGGGGAGAACAACAAGAAGGGAAAAAAAGATTGGCAACAGATGTTAGCTCAGCTGCCAATCTTTAAAAAAAAAAAAGGTGCTGTGTCTAGAAAATACGGGAGCTCAATATAAATCCATCACTTGCAACAATTCAGAGGATTAATGGGAAAGCAGAGGGACTTGCTGAAGCATCAGTTCCATACATTTAGGGCTAACCCCAGTACTCCCTATTCATTTCTTATTGCTGTGGTAACAAACTACCACAAACTTAGTGGCCTAAAACAACACAAATTTATTATATTACAGTTTTGTAGGTTAGAAGTCCAATACGATCTCACTGGGCTAAGTCAGGATGACGGCAGGGCTGGCCTTCTTTTTTGGAAGCTCTCAGGGAGAATCCATTCCCTTGCTTTTTCCAGCTTCTAGAGGCCACAATATTCTTGTTTTGTGACTCTCCTGCCCTCCATCTTCAAAGCCACTAACATCGCATCTCCCTCTGACTCCGAACTCTTCTGCCTCACTGTTGCACGATTACATTGGGCTCCTAGATAGTGCAGGATGACCTGCTTACTTTAGGAAAACGAGGCTCAGGGCCTTGGCACAGCTTTGGACCAGTCTGTTCCTGTTCAATTATATTAACTGTATATTTTTAATGGGCATTTTCATGAAGTCGTAAGACTGAAAGTTTGATTTGTGTGAGAAATTGGTCATGATTGAATTGCTTACCATATTAAAACTATCCTCGAAGTCCATGTAAGTGGATCAACTGTGTAATTAAAGATAATTACAGATATATTGGAATCCTTTCATCTGATAGTTTGAGATGTGTATGATCAATCTCACCACATTCCCCACACAAGGTTCTAGTAGAACCATGGCCTCTAATGGAATCTTGTATTTCTTATAGAATATATTTGATGGGTGATACTACAGTGACCGAATTCAAGAAACTGAACAACAATTAGTAACGTACATGAAAGGCTTCTACTGGGAACTCCTCCTGAACGCGCTATTTTAAATGGCTGAGGCTGTTACCGAGATTGTTGGGAGGGAACCATCATTCCCTTCTCCATGCATCATGTCCGTCCATCCATCCAGTGGCTTTATTTCTCACATGCCTCCCAGAATTGTCACCTGTGTGTGGGACAGGCAATGACTTTAACTGTCTTTTGTTCCCTGAGATTTTTGTAAGTTTTTACTTAACATATACATTTAATGGAAAACACTGAATTGAAGGCAGTCACAATGGTCACTGCCATTACACAAAAAGCCACTACTGACTCAACTTTAAAAGCTACTGTATGTGAGACTGACAGTTCCTTAAAAACTTATACTGCACTTGAATTCCAAAAAGAGCTATGAATTAATAAACGTTCATGATTATAAAGGTGATAAGTTCAACAATAAGAAAAGGGCAGTGATATTAATAATAAACACCATTTGGTGAATCCCTCTGTGCCTGGCCCTTGGCTCACACTATCTCATTCCATCCTCACAACCTGGCGAGGTAGACAGAACCTTTTTACAGATAAAAGCCCTGGGTGTCAAAGCTAATGAACCTGCCAGCCCCACAGAACTAGTAAATGTCGGAATGGAGATTTAAAGCTCAGTGCATCTTATTCCAAGTATGTTTTTATTTGCTAATATATTACAATTTTGAGTGTGTTCTAACATGTTTCTGTTTTTACTTAAAAAATGACCTAGAGGGGCCAGCCCCGTAACCACATGGTTAAGTTCACACGCTCTGCTTCCACGGGCCTGGGGTTCGCCGGTTCGGATCATGGGCGTGGACCTACACACTGTCATCAAGCCATGTTCTGGCGGCGTCCCACACAGAAGAACTAGAAGGACTTACAACTAGGATATACAACTATGTCCTGGGTCTTTGGGGAGAAAAAAAAAAAGATGATGATTGGCAACAAATGTTAGCTGAGGGCCAATCTTCCTCACACACAAGAAAAGCAAAAAACCCAAAAAGCATTTAAAATAACTGAGGAAGATAACTTAAAAAGTTTGAAAAGAATATTTCTCTACCTCTTTTAATTAATTTTATGTGTTGTTTTCTGTCACAGGAGATGAGTATGATGTATGTGCCATTTGTTTGGATGAATATGAAGACGGAGACAAGCTGAGAGTCCTTCCCTGTTCCCATGGTATGAATAATTACACACTTCTTTGAATTTATGCAACAAGTAATTTATATTTAGGTTCAATATTACAGGGGGAGACAGAAAATAGTTACTAGCACACCACAGGCCAGGCCCTGTACTAATTAGTGGTCTCGTTAAAGGATGGAGGTGTAGTGATAAAAGTGTACTTTTCTTCTCTCGTCCCTACATGATGCATATAGATCAGAAGATTAATAAACACAGCAAGAGATTAAAAATAATGTTCTCGACCACAGTATACTACCTAAAACGTGTATTTTGCTTCAACAGCTTATCATTGCAAGTGTGTAGACCCCTGGCTAACTAAAACCAAAAAAACCTGTCCAGTCTGCAAGCAAAAAGTTGTTCCTTCTCAAGGCGATTCAGACTCTGACACAGACAGTAGTCAAGAAGAAAACGAAGTCTCAGAACATACCCCTTTACTCAGACCTTTGGCTTCTGTCAGCACCCAGTCATTTGGGGCTTTGTCGGAATCCCGCTCACAACAGAACATGACAGAATCTTCAGACTATGAGGAAGATGACAATGAAGATACCGACAGCAGTGATGCAGAAAATGAAATTAATGAACACAGTGTTGTGGTCCAGCTGCAGCCTAACGGTGAACGCGATTACAGCGTAGCGAACACTGTCTGACCTTCAGAGGGTGACTGCGTTATTTCCCTTTAAAATGTTTACTTAGGTATATAATTTGATCTTTTTGCTCCCTTCAGAGATTTCTGTAGAAATAACTTATCTTTTAGTATTCTACAGTTTAATCAGATACTGAAGCAGGTGGTTCTGATCTGGTATCTGTCTGCAGGAGTGTACTTCATTTCACTAACAACTGACTGGTGCTGTAGTCAAGCATCACATCAACTCTTTTTTGGAATGAAATATAGCCAAAACATTAAACAAAAATTCCTCAGTATTGCTTGCAGTTAAGACCTAGATCACAGGGTGCCAATGTTCCGGGTTTTACACACGCGATCCTTGCTGTGGCCCCAGCATGAGCGGAAGCAGCTCCGTCTCCCTCAGTTACCTTGAGGCGGCGAGCTGGCGTATGTCTGCTCTGCTATTTCCCCAAATGCCATCATTAGTGAGAGGCCACAAGGTAATCAAGCATTTTTCGTCCTATCGGCACCACAGAGAAACTTAAAGCTCTTTTTCCTTTCTATTCCCAAGTAGTCTTATCTTGATAGGAAAGGTCTGTACTAGCACAGATTTCAAAAGCTTTTTTTCAAGATTTTTAATACTACAGTGTTATGTATGAATTTAATTCATCAGCTAAAGTAACATGTCTCTGGACTTTGCTTACTAAATTTCAGTATCCTTAAGGGTTTTATGTTGTGATCAAAGCAAAAAGAAAATGCTGTATAAAGATACCAAACTTCAGCAACTGTTAATACTCAGATCATATACCTCTTAATAAAGAGCATCTTATGCTAATTAGCCCTGCTAAACTATGTACAGAGGAAACCATTCAAGTATTGGATTTGAAAATAATTGCTTATGTTTAACAGACAGAACTAATGATGTATTTAAACAACGTATTATGAAAAGCTAAATTATATTATACGTCACTGTAACTATGTAGAAATATAGACTCATGTATAATCAAAATGCTAAGAATTTTTATATGGCCTTGTATGAAGGGAGTTTGAATGTTAATAAACACGTTTTCCACTTTAAGAACTGGCAAATATTTGTTCTACTGTGGTATTACCCACATTAGCCTTATTTATATGTGGTCCTATAAAGGTAGAATGATTAAAACAATTTAGGTCAGGTAAAGACACATCACCTTAGAATTTTATACAAGGTAACTGACTGCTCACAAGCAATTACGTAATCCCAAAAAAGTTAAAACGGCAGCCAAAATCATTCCAACAGTAGTGTGTATTATGGTACTCTACTGTAATCATGGTAATCCTTACAGTAGGCTGCTGTACAGCCTTGAAAGGATGAAGCATCTAGGTGTATCTGTATTGACATGGGAGACTGTTAGTGAACAAAAGCACATCAGAGAATAAGTACATTATGTATATGAGCCTTTTGTTGTAAAAGAAAAAATTTAATACATTGTAAAAGAAAAAATTTAATACATTGTAAAAGAAATCTAACACTATTAGGGGAAATTTCACTTTCTGAATCGCTTTCTAAAAAACTCCTCATAATCAACCAAAAAAATAGGTACTTCCACTTAGAAAAAAAGAAAGTTGAATTCCATATCTACTGTATGATACCACCTCATTCCCTGCCATAACCCCCATTTTTTTTTTTTTGAGGAAGATTAGCCCTGAACGAACTACTGCCAATCCTCCTCTCCTTGCCGAGGAAGACTGGCCCTGAGCTAACATCCATGCCCATCTTCCTCTACTCTATACGTGGGATGCTTACCACAGCATGGCTTTTTTACCAAGCAGTGCCATGTTGCCCCCCCCCCCCCCCCCATTTTAAAAATACAACACAGGCCTGAAAAACAGAACATTGTTTACTATGGTAGTTAAGCAGAACTTTGGAGTTCGGCATACTTGCGTGGCCCTAACCCTTCTAAACCTGTTTGGTCATTTGTGTAATTTTGTTTAGCCTAAGTGAGATGTGAGGACATACAGTGAGCTCAGTGCCTGACACAGAAATACAGTTAGTAATAGCTTTATAATTACTGAAGTAAATAATAAAAACATCATACCTAAAACACTTTTTTTTTTAATGAGGGGAAAGTTAAAAGTCACTGTTACGTGTATTAGATGTTGTATTCCCTCAGTCCTTATTCCACAGTTCACATCCAGGACCTAGTTCCTTGAAGTTAGGAGTTTTCCTGAGGCAAAAATTACTTTTTTTTGCAACTCAAAATTGTTACTTTTAGTTGTAAAAAAAAAAATTTAAGAGTGTATCTTATTTAACAGCACTGACTAGGATTATTATTAGTTCTCTTAATATTCTCTTGAAATCTTTTATAATTTCTTCATGGTATAAATATACAGCTTTTTAAATAGGACATTAAATAAAATTAAAATCCAATTTCTATTGAAAAGTGCCTTCCCAACTTAAAATTTTCCTGATTATAAAAGTATAGTCACCCGGAAACCTGCCCGCAGAGTTAAATTTTTCTTCAAAAATACATACGTAAAATACCTGTATATTATTCTACACACTCTATGTAGTTACCCTGTAACATCTGTTTACAGCCTCATATTATGTAACATTCATTGGTGAGCATTTTCTCAAGTCATTCAATCACTTTTATTTTTTTTAAAGATTTTCTTTTTCTTTTTCTCCCCAAAGCCCCCCAGTACATAGTTGTGTATTTTTTAGCTGTGGGTCCTTCTAGTTGTGGCACGTGGGACGCTGCCTCAACATGGCCTGATGAGTGATGCCATGTCCACACCCAGGATCTGCACTGGCGAAACCCTGGGCCGCTGAAGCAGAGCGCTCGAACTTAACCACTCGGCCACAGGGCCAGCCCCTCAATGAGTATTTTATCCTCTGGACATACAATCATTTATTTAACCCATAACCCTGAAAGTTAAATCCTGTAGTTTTCCAAGTTGAGTTATTCCAAGTTATGCTGTGAGGGACAGCCTGGTATGCGAATTTGTATGGCTCCATCTCCTCAGCTTAGTCCTAGATCTGAGTCCAAAGCGAAGGCACATGGATGCATTTTCCTAAGTGTCTTTCTAATGAAGCTGTGGATGGGGCCAGTGACAGTCCCTTATTTACTATTTTAGTGACATGGGTGCCCTCTACCTCTTCTACTCCCCTCCCCAAACCCACAACACACACCCCCCTCACCTACTTAGAGGTTCGCTCATTAAGGGTTTCACAGTTCTGGCCACTGCTTTCTAGTTACCCTAACAGTTGCGTACAACTGAAGTGTGAGTGTGTTACTGTAAAATCTCAAATCATCACAACTCAACCACCAAATTTTCATTTGACCAACCTTTTCCTAACAGGGATCTTAACAGGTCAAAAAGTTGAGGTTTTTGTTGTTTTACAATTTCTAAGATATGTCCAACTACCAAAGTAGCACCAATTCCCTTATCTTGCATACTTTTACATCCCTGTGTGTACAAATTCAGAAATGATACCTGACAACACTGTCAAAGAAAAAATTGGTTATGCACGTATATTTTAAGTAAGGCAAAGAGATTAACTCCCATTCCCTAACCCAACCCACTGTTTCTCAAAGGGTAGCGCAACAGGCCACTTGCAGTGAGATTGACCTGGCGACTGTTTCTAGGGACTTGCAGGGTCTATGGAATCTCCATCTCCAGAACCCAGAATCTGCACTATAACCAGCTCCCCAGTTTTTCTAAGAGCCACACATTTTTGAGCACCCTGCTCTGAACTTCTGCTTGACAGTTCATTGTAATGATTTATCTAGGTAGTATTAAACTAACATATTTACTGAATTTCAGTCTATCTCAGGGACCTTATGACTTCTGGGATTAAACTTGACTGTTACACAGGCATAGTGAACATGTCACTCCAAAGCCAGAAACTGCAAGAACTCCCCAGTTATCTTAGAGGCTGCCTAAAGAGTATCCTGTCTCACGAGAGTCCCAGCTGGCTGGCTGCAGCCCGCCAACACAGCCTCCAAATCTAGCCATGTGACAGTTCAACACAGAAGAATCCACAATGCAGAAACCCTGCTTGGTACTGGGCCCCTTACTGTTCACAAAGCTTTCACATGTAGAGACCAGCAACAAGAGAAAGATACTTAAATTCTGGTGGATAAGTTAATTTTCCTCTCATAAGCCTGAAATGACTAAAAGCCATTTTTAAGAGATCAAAGCCCATTACAAAGAAATTCCCAGGTGCTCATTATTTATAATAAATACCACAAGAAATGGGAGTAGGCTGTCAGCTTAAATTTTTTAAGATTTTCCGCTTGCAGCACAGTTTGGCCTATTCTGTATATTCCCATTGTGTCAAAAATTAACATAAGCCAATGATTTATATAAACAACAGGAGTCTAGAATATTTGGTTGGAATAAATTTATTTCATCTGTCTGTAAACAAGGTGTTTAATAGTTATGGCATTTTTTGAAATGCATATTAAATCAGATGAGTTAGACTGTATCCCAGATGTAACAAAGTGCAGGGAAAGAAAATGGACAAATCAGCAACAAGATTTGTTTTTAAATCTGTACATTATCCACAAGGCCCAAACAATAGAAGCAAATACTAGAATGTCCCTAAAGTAGTGCCATTCGAAAGAAACCTTTAATAGGTCAGTTAAAATCCATCTCACAATAGCAACAGTTCATTTTAACAATAGTATGGCACAGAATACATATGAAAAAAACTCATCACAAGACAGCCAAGTCCACAATAATGCAACTTCATATAAAAACTCAAGCTGCAAATAAAAATTGGTCCTATGAAGAACAAACTGGACACACTCCAGATGGTTATGTTGGGATACCTAATGTCCATAATGGCAGCCTTTTACAATTTTACTAAAGAGTAGAGCTGGTGTGCAAAGAAAAAGACAGGAACAAAAATGTGAGCTACTGCGATGATGGCATGTCCCTGGGGATCAATCAGTGTGGTGACTGTGAGGTCGTGGGAGGAAGTGCCTTTGCTCTTGTTTTGAAGTTGCACTCTTCATGTGTCCTGTGCACACTGAAAAAAGGGCTGTCGCTACTCAAGTGCAACAACAACACTGAAAGCAAACTCCCGCAGCTCTCGAGAGCTCATCCACAAAGGGCTAGTAATTTGTTATAAACCAGGCACTGCGCAAAAGAGGAGGGAAGCAAACCAAACACCTTACGTGTGAAGGGAGGGGTGGGAGAGAGCGGAGTGAAGGAAAGATGCATGCACTTCTTCCTCCCAACCATGCGCTACCAAAGGAAGACTAAATGAGCTAAGTAAATGCTCAAAGTGCTGAAAAGACATTGATCAAATCAGAGATTGTACAACCGGCACCTTGCTTAAGATTAACTTATTTTAGTAATCAATATTCCATTAATTGCTAAGACAAAGTGATGCCCAACTTGGCATGCCCCCGCCCCCCAAATTTCAAGGTATCATGCAAATCATTATTGTGCTGCAATTATGTTGCCAGATAAGGGTGGTTACATACAGTGGTTAACATACAAATGATCCATTGGGCAAACAGGAATTGTGACATTAGAAAAGAGGTAAAGAAAAATTAGCCACCATCTATAGTCTGGTAGCACTATGACCATAATTGGGGTGGTGATGAAGACAGTTGCTAGGTAGATGGGGAGAGGCTGCTTACACATCAGACCTCCTCAGGTATAAAGTGAGTTCATATGCTTTCTTGTTAAGTGTGCCTCCGTGGACACCTTCCTTTCCCATGACTATAACCAATGCTGGAGTACACAAGGAAACAAAACAAAAGTGAACAGAATTATTTAAGGGGGGGAGGGCAGAAAGAAAGACACCTTTCCCCACCAACAGAGGGATACAAAGGAGACACAGGTTCATACCCCATCACCCTGCATTGCTAATAAAATTTCCAGAATTAAGACTCAAGCTTACAGCTAGGAAAGTTTAAGAGCAATTTTTCCCCTAATACTTAACAGTCTGCCTAGCAGCTAGAACCCAGAGTCTCTCAAGTATTTTGCCATTGAGTATGCCTTCTTATTCAATCCGCCTCCATGGACCCCTTCTTTTCCCATTACAAAGACCAAGACTGAAAGAGAAAGAAGAAAAGTGTTTCA